GAGCGGCCGTTAGTTAACTGAGTTTATTACTTTTCGATTAATTCATATTTCTTTCATAGAACTGTCGAGTCCACGATGAGGAACGAAATACAAGCGACGGAGCTTGCGAATTCTTCTTCTTTCGCTTTTTCGCATCTTCAAACACTACCGCGATTTCCAACGTCAATAGAAAGTAATAAAAAGAGATGACGAAAGCGGGAACCTTTATTTACCCATTAATCTTTATTAAATTATTTAATATTCGCACACACTCCGTACCTGCAGTTGAGTAATTTAAATAATTAAAATCATAAATATTATAATATAAATATAATAATTAAATATAAAATAATAATTAAGTAAATAATTAAATATTGCTCATTGTGAAAGCAAAGATTAAATATAGATAAAGATCGAGATGAAGAAATATTTCTGAAATAAGTACTCCTTTAAGTCTCGACGAAAATTAACTGTTCCATTAAAGGATAATAGCTCGACAACACTCTGAAATTCCCAGTTGATACTTCAAGTTCATTGACAGGATTAATGCAACAAAACCGAATTATCACTCGGGCTATAATATCGGGAGAGTTCAGTCTGGGCGATATATTGATAAACTTGATGCGCACACTTGGAAAAAAGCAATCGATCAAGCGATTTCGCGTCGCGCTGCGCTTCAGTCTCATCGCAATCCCTTTAGATCGCGAACGAACAACGAGAGCCGCGCAAACGATCCCACTGTGGATGAATCAACCGCGCTACGATTATTTCGCACACGTCGCAACCTCTTAATTCCAGCTCGCGAGCTGACCGAGGGAGGAACGATAAAATATTTCGGCCGGAAACTTAATTGCGGAGCGCTTTGCGTTAAAACGTCTATCACAGTGTACATTTCAGCGTGACGGGAATCGCGATAAAGCCGCTTTAATTCCGCGAAAACGATATACCGCGAAAAGCAAGGAAAAACGCGAAGGGCGACAGAGCGCTCCGCTGTAGAGCACTAAATTATCGATCCACTTAGCGCGCCGGTACTTTAATTATTGAACGTGTCTACATGCTTCGCAATTTCATTCGATATCAACGAGTCATATTATTATATCATTCGCCGGCGAGCAAGCTGGCTGGCCGAATGTAATTTGCCCGAGAGCATCCTAAAGTCGTAATGTCATTAGCGCGCTTTTCTGGCATTGGTAGCCGTTCAAACGTTCGACCGCTCTGCCGACTGATATTTCGTAACGAGCCCGTTATCTACGATAACGCTACGTGCTCGCCGGTTCGTCCTCCCTCTTCCTTCTTTTTCTCCTTTTAAAGAGGCAATTCCCGACGGAGAAGCGGGTTCTAACTTATGTCACCGAATCCTGTTCGCGCGCGTGACCTGACGCGGTAATGCGAAACCCGAGGAAATCTCGAACACCTTTTTTTCCTCGGCGCAGAGCCGGAAGCGATAATGTCCGGGGACGGTGTTAATATTTTTCGTCGCCGGATATGGCGGTCCATGACGGGCGTTGCCGAGTCGTTATTACGAATAGTATCCCAAGTACGTTCGGCGTGATAAAGGTGTTTCTTATTCGACGATATCTCTTTCTTTCTTCACTTCGGATCTCTCGAAGCGAGAAGAATACGCGAGCGCGACTCTCCGATGAATCTCTTCGTCGACGTGAATTTTCAGATCAGGTTCGGCGATTCTTTCTTCATTTTACCGGTCGATATATAAGGAAAAAAACTATCTTGAATCAATGATAGATATTCTCATATATAAGCAAGAATATTATATCCTCAGAAGGTCTTTAAATTGAGTGCAAATAATATTTGCATCGATATAAATTCAATCAGGACTCTCCTGAAAATATTATAATATTCTTGCTTGACTATACATGACGATATCTATCATTGATTCCAGACTAATTTTTTTTCCGTGTGGAAACGTAATTTTTCTACCGAATCAATAGCAGAATTTTGCATTTTACATGGTTGTTCTTGCAATTCGATCTCGTCGACGATGAATTATTTATACGCCGCGGGAACAATTCGCCTTTTGCTTACCTCTTATTTTCGTTGAACCGCACGACGTCAACCTTTTTCGCGTTTTATCCCTTCGTATACACCATCGTACCGCCGGCAACTGCTTCACTCCCGTGTTCTACGATAAGAATTACGCGATAAATTATTCTTCGTTGTACTTGTTTTTTTCTTTATTCGCGCTTTTCTCTCGAATTTCTGTCGTAGTTGTGCAAACCGATCACAAATCCGTGAAATAAAATCGGAAAACGCTGCGGCGTGGAGTTTCACCGAGAGTTTCGCCGTGAGGATCTCTCCTCACTTTTCTTTCTGCAGGAAATCAAGCGGAAAATAAAATCCGGCGAGTGTCATATTAATCGCGCCGACGAAAGCTTTGGGCAAATATAAAATTTTCCGAGAATGCGGCACGTGTATATTCGACGTGTTATAATTGAATCTCGAGTCTACTTGGCGTGTGCACGCGTGTAGACGATCCTGCGAGAATCCATATCGAGATATTTTTTTAATCGCAGTAATGCGACGTACATTATTATATATCCCCGGCATTTGAGAATCTCTCCTACCCCGATATCACATCATGATATTAAAAATACGAAAAATGAATAAATCTCCATATTAATATCAATCATTGTAACTAACGAGTACTCGCTGTCGCGTTATCGCTGTCGTTGGCAATGTCTAACAAACTCGACAATTTTTATGAAAAAGAAGAAAAAGGTTAGAAAAGTGGGATACGAGACTGCGGGATTGACGGAACGCGAGACTTGTTTTTCTTTTTTGCACTCTCTTTGTTTTTTTTTTTTTTTTTTATAAAACAAACGTGTTTATTTTCATGGTTTTTTGCTGAAATGGAAAGTGGCAATTAATTTAATACGTATTTAACAGACTATGAATATAATGCGTGATTCGCGGCGAGCGTATGTACAGTAATAATACAATACAGTTGGTACCTAAACGCGATTACAATTAAGACGTATCCGCCGACGGACCATGGTGGTACTCTACGTTGCGTGTGGTGCACCCGCTGGCCGTCGGCTTGTCCGGAAAAGTGTGCGCACGAGTATTTACAAAAATTAGATACAATATTTACAGGAAAGTTCACTTACGTACTAATAAGCGTTATGCGACCGTAACTTCATCAAGACAGTCGTGAATCTTTCTTTTTTTTCTTTCTTAGGAACAAGCTCTCACGAGACGTCTGTCTTTTCTTTCATGTCGTTTTCAACACATTATGTAGACGATACTTGTTCGTAAATCTTCGTTGTCGAATTGTCGACGAACAAACGACAGGAATGACGAAGGGGGGAGAGGGGTGGTGCGCTTCGGGTCCCAAAAGTGTGTCGCGAGAGAGGAACTTTATCGCGAGATTTTGCGAAAGAAAAAAAAAGTATATTCGTACCTTCGATATTCGTTTCTCGGCGGAAATTATCACGAGCGCCCAATCTGCTATGAAAATAATTTACTTTTACTTTAGTTTAGCCTTTCTTTTAATATTTCTCCCGACGTTCATCTAGAAATGAAGTGGACGAGCGGAAAAGCGACTCGACGTTAATACTCGTACGTACGTAGTCGTATGTAAATATCACGTTGCTTCTCTCGTGCGGTCGCACGAGGCATCGAAAAAGACATATGTGTGTACATACATATATACATATACATTTATATATATATATATATATATATATGAATACATTCGCAATTAAGTTGTTATAAATACGCAGTACAGATTATTAAATATAAGATAAATGCATCGGTCTAAGCGTATCTAGAAATAAATTACTTATAAAGAACATTTCTCGCATAACGGCGTGTTACTACACTTTCGTCTCGTGCGTTCGGGCTAAATAAAAGTTTATTAGAAACCGCCGGCGAGCCACCTAATTAGCATTCGTAAAAGGATCGCGTTGTACCCACGAGGGGATCGGTTGCCTGCAGCGCGCATTTAGGTATTACCATCGTTATTCACCGTTCGTTATATTGTATATTCAAACCGCAAATAATCATATTGATGAGTTGTGCCAATTAATGCGAAGCGACTCGCAATTAAAAGGAGTCGGTAGCGTCGAACGGCGAAACGTGGAAAACCGCGGTCGTTTCGTCGCGAGCTTTCGGCCGATCTTGGACGCGATCTCGCAATATGACAAAGATGACGGCGAAAGATCGCGCGAATGCGTGTTGCGGAGAAAAAGGAGAAAGAGTTGCTGCCGATATTTAGTGCTGTCAACATCCGAATTATATCCGAGTGTGTCGAGTATTTCGTGAAACTGCGGGAAATAATTCCTGAATACTCGGGATTTCCTTGAGTATTACACTGAGAAACCCATCTAGTTGAATCAAAATTAATTAACTAAATGGGGTTCTCAGTGGATACTAAAAATCGTAATTTAATATACGATTATATTATTTGAAATTTTCGGCTTTTAACAAACAATGCATGTAACGGATGATAAATATGGGAAGGAAAAAGGAAATCTTCGGAAACACGTTCGCTATCGAAAATCTTGCACCACAGTCCAGGGTGTTTTTTGTTAGAACGTGTCCCCAATTGACTTTTTAAGATATATTTACAACATAAAACTCTAGACCAAGGACATCCTACATTTATTTGATCAACAATGCTGTTCCAAACTTATCGCAATACGTTATCATAAACCGAACACGGATATATGCGGCGGTGGTAGCGAACGTGTGAAATCAATGACAGATATTCTCTATGAGCAAGGATATTATAATATTCATAGACAAGCTAGATAAATGTGCGCTATGAGCGCATATACTGAGAAAGCCATCGACTCAAACGAAATTCTTGTTTGAATACGAGCAAAGAAATATTATCGTTTCGGATAAACTTTAGCCCTCACTGCTGCCAGAGTGAAGAAAATGCTTTCTCAGTGTAGGAATATTCGACGGAATTTTGAGTACCTCGGTGATGATCGATCGAGGTAGCCGAGTACAGAGATAACTCGGTTGACAGCACGAGTTTGGAAGAAGGTGACCGACGAGAAGAGACAATTCGTGAAAGGAAGGACCGTGTTGTGGAAGAGCCGTCTATCTGTTGGCGGATCGCAGCAGGATCGCCGCCCTTCTGTGCTAGACGAAGTAAGTACGCGGGTTGCCGGTCGTCTCGCCGGGCAACTGCGGCGGCTCCGGTATGGTGCTGTAGAGGTGACTGCCTCTGGAGGAGAGACTGGCCGGGCGGCCGGCGGTGTGCAGCGCGCTGTAGCCGTGCTGGTGGTGCTCGGCGCCGCTGTCCTCGTCCTCGGTCCTGCTGGACGCCGAGCTGACGTAGGTGGACTGCGTGGGCGTGGGCGTGGGCGCGTGCACCGGCGCGACCAGAACCCCGTTCGGCTTGGTCCAGACGTCGACGACGGCGGGGGCCGCGGTGTAGCGGGTCGGGGCGTTGTTCTTGCCGGCGCTGTCGCGCCGTTTGTCCACCGAGTCCGGCATGGCGAACCTGAGCTTCTCCCAGAACCTCTTCTCGCCCCAGACGACGACGGTGCAGGTCTGCAGCAGCAGCTGCATCTCCGGGTCTCGCGCGGGCGCCTCGGTCGCCAGGAGGACGAGCACTCGGCGCTTTCGCGAGGTCGGCCTGATGTTCTCGAGGGCGGTCCTCAGAGCGGCGCGGAACTCCGCGTGCTGCCACTCGTTCGCCGCGAAGACCGGCGAGAAGATGATGACGATGCGCCGGGCGGCCGCGGCGGCCGGCGGCAGCGCCTCCTGCGGCCTCGCCGGCGGCAAGTCCCGCCAGTGCAGGCAGAGAGCGAGGCCGGCCTGCTCCAACTCGGCCGCGAGGAACCTGGAAACGAAGTCCTCGTCGCGCTCGCTGTAGACGACGTAGCCGTCGTAGAGCCGGTCCCTCTCCTCGTCCGGCGGCGCGGCCGTCTTGCCGAGGCGCAGGCCGTAACGCGCGTGGGCCCAGAGCCGCACGTCCTGCCGGAAGGCGAAGGCCAGGGCGACGAAGAGGCAGACGGCGATCACGGCGACGAGCGCGCCGGCGAGCAGCGGCACCAAGTTGCCGCCCAGCAGCGGTATCTCCTGGATCCCGCGGCTGACGGCCTCCGTCGAGGGGTCGCCGCACCGCTCCATCGCCTGGGCGAGGGTCTCGACCCCGTCGCGGCAGTACATCTTCTCCGGGTCGCCCCGGTGCTCCGCGAGCCAGGCGCGCAGTCTGGCCGCGTTCGCGCACTCGCAGCTCCAGGCGTTGCCCTCGAGGGCGACTTTCGCGCCGCCGGCGACGAGCGCCTCCCACGGCCGGAAGTCGACGATGCGATTGTTGTCGAGGCGCAGCACCTCGAGGTTCCGCATCTTCTTGAAGGTCGCGTTGCCGACGGTCGCGATCGCGTTGTGGTCGAGGTAGAGCTCGGACATCAGCCCGAGCTGCTCGAACTCGAAGCCACGGAGCTCGCGCAGCGCGTTGTCCTCGAGATGGAGGACGCGCAGCGCGCCGACGCCGTTGAACGTGCGATTGTCTATCGCGGCGATGCCGCTGTTGTTCAGGAAGAGCACCTCCAGCCGACGCTTGCCGATGAACACGTGGCTGCCCAGGTCGCCCAGCTCGTTGCCGTCCAGGTAGATCTCCGTCGCGTCCATGGGTATGAGCTCGGGCACGCTCTTGTAGCCGGCGTTCGAGCAGTCGACCACGTTGCTCGACCAGCTGTGGTCGTGGTAGCACGAGCAGTTGTCCGGACAGGTCATCTCGCAGTCGCACGCGTCGAACTCGCAGCAGTGGCAGAGCGCGAAGCAGTGGGTGTCGTACTTGCAGAGGAAGTCCTTCGGCTTGAGGGAGAGGAGCTTGCGCCGCGGCGTGGCGCGCGCGTGCATCATGCTGCACGTCACCGCGTCCAGGTCCATGACGCGCGGATGCTGCCGCTGACGGGCCGCCAGTTCGTTGATCTTCGGCAGCCACTCCATCGTGCAGTCGCAGAAGATGGGGTTCTCGCCGATGTAGAATACGGGCAGGTCCCGGTCCTCCGGCACGGGCGACAGACCGAGCGCGGCCACTTCGAGCTTCCTGATCTCGTTGCCGTGGAGCACGACCTTCCGCAGGTTGTTCTTCCGCCGGAACGTGCCCGCCGCCACCGTGACGATCTTGTTGTTGTTCAGGAAGAGCGTCTCCACGCTGTTCGGCACGTTGCTGTCCTTGATCTCGGTGATGAGGTTGTAACTGGCGTCCAGCATCTTGATGCGCATGTCGCCGCGCATCAGGTAAAAGTCGCCGAGTTCGCTGATCTGATTCGCGTGTATGTCCAGCCACTCGATGTTACCCGGCAAGTGGCTGTAGTCGAACCACAGCAGCTTGTTGTCGGACACGTTCAGCCAGACGAGAGTGGAGAGGCTGGTGAAGGCGCCGCGGATCTCCGTCAGTTGATTCCCGTCCAGCCTGATGGCGCGCAACACCGGATTGTTGACGAACGCGCTCTGCTCCACGTGCCGGATGTGATTGTTCGCCAGGTTGAGCACCTGCAGAGCCGGCAGGCAGCCGAACGCCTCGCGGGACACGTTCTCCAACTTGTTGTCCACCAGCCGCAGCCCGTAGAGCTCGTTCAGCCCGGCGAACGACTCGTTGTCGATCCTCGACACGTGGTTGTTACCCAGGTCGAGGGTCTTGAGGGAGCGCAGCGCGCGCACCGCGCGCGGAACCTCCGTCAGGTGGTTACCGCTGAGCGAGAGGTCCTGCAGCTCGGTCAGGTTGGCGAACACATGCCTGGGCAGGAGGCGCAGCCTGTTGCCGTCGAGGAAGAGCTGGCCGAGGGCGCCGAGGCCGACCGCCTGCGCCGCCTCGAACCTCACGATCTTGTTGTCCGAGAGCGTGAGGGAGCGGAGGCTCGCGAGCGAGGCGAAGCAGCCGTCGACGAGCGTCTCGATCTCGTTGCGCTCGAGCTTGAGTATCTGCAGACTGCGGAGGCCCTTGAAGACGTGCGCGTCGATCCGCGTGAGCGAGTTGAACGAGAGGTCGAGCACGACCAGGCGGACCAGCTGGGAGAAGGTCTCGCGGCTCACCCACCGGCTCGTCAGCCCGTTCCCGCTCAGATCCAGCAGCTGGAGCTCGCCGAGGCCGTCCAGCAGCCCGGGCGCCAGCACCGTCAGGGAATTGTTGCTGAGTATCAGTTCCCGGAGGTCCCTCGTCTTCGAGAAGAGCTCCGGCGGCAGCGCGACCACCCGGTTGCTGGACATGTTGAGCACCCGCAGGGACGCGAGCCCGAGCAGCGCGTGCTCGCCGACCGCGGAGATGGCGTTCTCCTGGACCTTCAGCACGGTGAGCGCGCGCAGACCGCTGAGCGCGTGGTCCGGCAAGGCGCTGAGCTCGTTCTCGCTCATGTCCAGCGTCTCCAGGCCGGCGGTGCACTGCTCCAGCCAGTCGACGTCCTGTAACTTGTTGCGCGTCAAGTTCAAGCTCGCGAGGGCCTGCACCGGGCATAACAGCTCCGACGGCAGCGCGAGGAGGTTGTTGTCCGCGAGGTCGAGCTGCCGCAGCCCGGCGAGGCCGCGCAGCGCGTCCCGGTCCACCTCCAGCGTCATCGCCGACCAGTCGCCGTTGTGCGTCCGCAGCGAGAGACTGCGTAGATTGTGGACGCCGGTGAACGCGCCGCCCGGCAAGCTCGGGATCTTGCAGTGTTCGACGCGCAGCTTCGCCAGCCGCGGCAACGGCGCGAGGAAGCCGTGCGGCTGCCCGCTCTCGAAGAACAACACGTCGCTGCACTCCAGCCCCAGCGACGTCACCGAGTCCGCCTGTATCGTCGAGAGGTTGCCGATGAGACCGGGCGCGCTCGCGATCGTCCTTACGCGGCAGGCCAATGCCTGCTCGCCCTCCTCCTTTCGCCATTCGCAACCGCTCGGCGCCTCGAGACTCGTGATGCTGCGCCCGTACGCCGTCTGATCCAACGACGACAACAATAACAAGCACAGTACGGTCGATGCGTGGTACGCTTCCATTATTCCCAACGTCATTCTCCCGTTCGCACTCACTGCACTGCTCTCTCGTTCAACCGTTGTGCACGCCACAGAGGGAAAAATCTCACCATCACCACCGCGTCCGTTCGTTCATGAGACGATAACCGGGAGGAACGAACGAATTCTCGCTTTGCGACACTAACTAGACGGCGACATCCCACCACGGCGGCGGTCGGAATGCAACTGGCTCCGCGACCGAACCGCCGTTCTATCGACGATCGGCGTAACTGGCGGCCACCCCCACTCTCGGCGACTCCCACCGCCGCAGCCCCTCCACGTCGGCCGCGCACACACGTTGCAGGCGGCCGAAGATGCAACGAACCAGCTGACTGACAACGCTACTTACTAGGTAAACACCAAACTGGTTCCTAGACGCACCGACACGCATTTATCAAGCTCTCCTCCGCCGAGGAGAACGAGCGTTCCTTCGGGCGTCCTCGACCGTCGGCGAACTTTTCCGCAGAATAAACACTCGTTCTCGCCGCGTGATTCGTTGCACTCGGCGCTTTGAATCTTCGATCGCCGCCCGTTCTTTCTCTGCCGACGAACGGCTGAAGGATTTGTCGCGCACGGTGAGAACGTGAGCGGGGAACTTTACGACAGATATTGTTCGATATTCCGGTATTTTTCAACCGAGTCTGCCTATTTGTATGCATTTCTTGCGCGTTCTCCATTGCGTCGATTCGAATAACTCGACCGTATTGAACTGTATTTTCTTCTTTCGTTCATCTTCTTTTTTCAAGAGCAGCGATTAACACAGAATATGAGGTAATTATGATACACTGTAGTTGGTTCATAGAATGCTGGGTTTTAAGTGAGGAACATTAAAGCACTCTTAGGATGCTCTTTTATAAGTTTATTATTTCTTGAAGAAACTGACTTTCCTATGACTTTATTTAACTATCTAGAAATTAAGACAAATATATACGCAATATTACAAACACGGAGGTATTTATATTCCTTATTAATGCTTTACATATACGTCGGTTGAGCTAATAGAGATACACACATAATAGAAAATGTATATAAATACATATATATGGATGTTATTATAAATTATTAATTTTCTACGGCTATATCTTCAATGCATGATGATCGAAAATTCGGATAATTTTGCATAATATCTCTATATTAACATCACAGTAATTCTTCATCTTAAATGTGGTTTGGAAGAAATTAAAAATAAAAGTTAAAAATAGGACATTAGCGTGAAAAACACATATGAAAAAATGTCATTTTCAGTTGTGAATATCTCGGATAGTCAATCATTTTCTAATTTTACAGCCGTGTAGATAATATTTCCATCACTACGCAGTTAAAATTTCAAAGTATTCTTAAGAAAATGGTTTGACAGAACAACTATTTTAAGTTAATGTATGTCACGCCGTCGGGATATTTAAATGTTTCGTCGTTTGTAGAACGACGTTTGTAGAAATTATTCACGAATAGCATGTAAAAAGTTATTAAAAAGTTGATTTGAATGAATTTGCAAATTGGACGAAACATTTATACGCAGATCTATTTGCGATTCGGAAGTTCAAAAGGATCTTTTTTCTCCGTCTAGACGTTTTTAAAATCTAATTTATCTCATTTTTGTTAATAATCTGTAAGTTTTACAACATTATTTAAGATTTGAAAATATGATAACGTTATTCACTTATACATTTTCTTCATCAGCGACTAGCTTAATCCTTAAAAATGAATTTTAACGCCATCTGTGTTTCAGCTAGAGAATTGAAATGAGTTTTTAGAGAGTAATAGCACCTCTTTGCCTAAAAGTTTTATGGGTTTTTCCGATGTGTTAAGTGGATGTTGCAAGCCGTGAAATTTGAGCAATTTTATGAATCATAACGGCATGCATGTTTCTGTAATAACTCTGCTGATTATTCTTTCTTTTTTCTGATAAATTTACTATAATCCTTGCTAGGGTTCTGCATAGATAGGAGTGACATCGAAATTGTTATCGAAACTTGATTTCGATCGTCAATGAATATAGATTCCGTAACATTGATATTTTGTCGACGTCGATATTTTAATTAAAAATTATATTCTTTTATTATATGCATAATTTTTATGCATGTGTACCATTAAACCATTTCATTTTTTAGCCAATATTATCAATAAATCTTCGGAATAACTATTTTTCTGTTTTAATACAACACATTTTATTTATTTAGTACGCGAGTACAATTCCCATCAACTTTTATTCATAGACCGCAGAAACATGATTTGTGATACCAATTTTCCTCTTAAGCGGTTTCTTTGTTGCGTTAATATCAATTCCCCCTTGAAAAATAATCTCGCTGACAACACAGATGTTGCTACCGCAGATATAAATTGTGGCATTATTTTATACAGAGTAGGATGTGTCCTTTTCATTTCTTTCCACATTTTTAATGGCTTGCCGCCTGAACGACCAGTTGGTAGTACATTTAAATATAAATAATATAAAGATAATAAATATAATATAAAGATAAGTTATCATCGCCGAGATTAATGTAAAAAGAAAAATATTGAAGACATCAATAAAATATCGATGCATCGTAAGACGTTACATCGATGCAAAAAAATTGATGTATCGACACTTACTCGATATTTATTTGACATTGACATTTTTTGCGGAACTCTAATTCTTGCACGAACATGGAATTTCTTTATAGAGGAGGTGAGTCAAAAAGTCTGACGATTTTCCATCTTTAAATGCTGAAAATTCCAGAATTAAAAATTCGAAAGTTTCCACTTTCCCCGACGCTATAAATTACGTGGGATAACTCTCTCTCTCTCTCTCTCTCTTTAGAATCGCGAGGAATTAGTAACGCGGGTTCTTTAAACTCTCGCAGCCGAGAATTACGAGGCAACAACCGCCCGCTGATCTGATTGATAACAACAATAAGAAAACCACGCCGGCTCGAAGCTAACGAGAGAAATTCGCTAATTGAACGATCAATATTGCGACGCGCACAACACTAATTGCATCTCCCTCGGCGGCTATCTAGTTGCCTTTTGGATTTATATTCCGAGCGACGGCCGTTCATCCGTCGTGTATAAGAATGATGAATCACGCGAGTACACTAGATGAGGGATACGGGATTATAAATTCGAAATCGCGTGTATTCGCGATGACGGATGGAGGCGTTCATGGATTTAAGCATACGGGGGTTTCCGCACTTCATTGTGTATTTACGGCTCGTCGGCGTGATATCATTCCCGCGTCACTTAACCGCCTCGCGTCGCAATTGGAATACTTTATCAGTGTGACTAAGTGCAGCGTATCACACGACGAATTTTTCGCTGTCTCTCTTTGAGATCGTGCGTGGGTCATAGGGCGTGCATACACAGCGACTTTGTTCCACTCGCGTGTGGAACATGAAATTCGCGGGATCAGGCGGGAGCGAGCAATAACGTTGAGAAACCGTAAGCGAGAAAAGACGTATCTTCTCCTGCCGAGGAAAAATTCATGGTTATGTAAATGAACACCCTTTTATTCTCTCTCCCTCCCTCCCTTTCTCCTTGCTCATGGAAATGCCGGAGAAATAATTTAGCCGATGGACGACAAAGTCCTTCAGTTGTCCGCGAGAGAATGAAAGACCTAAATAACCCTGTGCAAGCGTTCGTAGAAAAATCCGGACAGTCTTTCACGTTTTTAGTGGCCGCGCGTACTATCTGTTGAAATTTATGCTCGCGCCAGTTCCATGCACGGGGGGGAGGGTCTTTGAATGGCTTATGCTCTCTTATTTGAATAAGTATTTTTCCTCGTGTATGGTATCACGTCCGTTTCACTGTCCGATGGACAGGACGATGAGACGCGGCCGTTGAACGACCGTGGAAGAGTCGAGAAAGACACGCGTCTTTAGGTGAGGCGGCATTGACGCATAAATTATCACATGTTATCGTTCGCGGATCAAAGATACAGAAACCGTAAGCCTATTACCGTAATGTATGGGGAAGGGTGGATCGTTCTTTTATCTAATAATCGAAGCCGACTGGAGAGAACGCTTACGACCGAGAATTAACACCTTGCATTATAGTAAAAACAAGCTTCGTTTTTACAGTCAGGTTGGTATTTATTCTCGCGTTACAACTGATTTATCTATCTAGAGTCACGATAATTCAATCATAGGCGATCTCTCTCTCTCTCTCTACGACAATTCAAATACGACATAAATTAAAACAATTAAAGTTAATGAAAAATATTTCAAGCAAAATCATTGACGATACTTTAAGAGTGAGATTAAAATAATAAGGAAAAGTAATGAATATCTATATTGATTTGCAGTGCTATACCGCTTCTCAGTGATAATACACTGATTGCATTTTAGAGTCTTATCGACGCAACTGATAAAATTCAGCGTCCGCGCGGACACGAAGAAGCGAGACGATGAGAAATCCGTCTGCATTCCATCTCGCGACATCGTTTACTCGAGAAATTCCCTCTCGCAAAAATCAGACAACCCCGCGCGAGCGGGTGAAGAGTATCGGTCGTAAAACCGATAATCGAATCCGCGGCCGGGTGAGTCCTTCAGGAGCGCGTTCATCAAGATTTTCGTTTCGGCGGCGGGATCGATACGAGACGGGAGAACGAAAAGGACCGCGCACTTTCACTCGGCGAGGTCAGCTGGGGTTAACGACGAAAACTGTATCGCGTCACGAAACGCCGTGTGCATTAGCATACGACCGAAGGGCGTACGAACGGACAGACGGATGGGAAGAGGTAGGTAGGTGCCACGAAGAAGTTGACGTTTCTCGTGCATGCACCATAGGCCGGCTTCGCAGGCGGAGCTTTCGCGCTGGAGAGACCGCCTGCAGACCGCCCCTGTGTTTCGTTTCATCGTCGTCAATGTGGCGTGCAAGAAGGCCTGCGAATAAACGCGCTCCCGGTTAACGTATACCGACCGTGCCGGTTTATAGCCACGTATGCAGCGACGTCCGATGTTCCCCCGATGACGGAAATGTGCAGCCGCGTGATATTTGATCTAGCGTGGAGGACGTGTGCTCCGGATGGAACGGAAGAAGAAGTTCTATGTCGCCGACACTAGCTCGCGAATTCGCGGATTTGAATGACTTTCGCGCCAAGTCCGGAAATCACAGGATATCCGCTTAAAAATGTACACAAAGAAGAAGAATTTCTTCGGATTTAGCACACTGAGGAAAAAGTACTGAAAAATTTAAGGCTTATTTTTGCGAAATGAGGTTTATTTCTGCGAAATTCGCAGAAATATTATTTCGCAAAAATGAACCTCATATCTCACTCCGGCGCTCAAGTGTCTCTCATCGTGAAAGAGTCTATCGGTCAATTGTCGAAGCGATTCATACTGACAGCGTCGTCGTTTTCGACGTCAGATG